GCATATGTTTAAGAACTGAAGCCAAACATAATAAAATGCATCACAGTGTAAATGGAGTTTTAGTGCCAGTTCTTCTTTTGCAGAAATGTGTCATTTGGTCTACATTATACACTTCCACTTGTGCCTGTGCTAATGTTACCACATGATGACGGCCACTTTGAAAAGGTAGTCATGTCAACCATTGACAGCTAACTGCTGTGGCTTTTTGTATGTCAGAAAGCTGTTGAGTGTTAGGGGGACCAGGATTCAAATTTGCAACATATTAGTATTTCTGTCATCGGCTTTGAGAGAAAAGAAGAGTCTCTTTATTCTGCTCATATGTTGAAACAGGTTGGGTTCCAGCCGAGACTTATTAGGGTGGGCTGGTAGAAATATTAAAAGGTGAGTCTTTCTGTGTGTTTTGAAACAATTGGTAAAAGTGCAATCTACGTACAAAGCATGAAATGTGATGTGAATATCAAATTGGCCAACTGTTGGTACATAAGTTGTGTTCACTGATATAACCGTATAATCATTGTGTCTTAAGTCCCATTTTTTTGTGTGTAATCAATCCATTAAAATGTTTTTTTTAAATAACTTCTCTATTTCATTCTATTGCAATTCTTAAAGAAAATATTGAAGCAGGTAAAGTGGGAGATGTTAGGCAACAATATTAAGTTAACTGTCCCCCTATGATTGGACTATATTTAGGTAGGACTTATTAACCATGAAACCAAAAATCAAAAAATTTCTGAAACAGAGTTCTAATATAACATTTAACCTCAACCCTCAACATAGTACCAGGCTGCAGCTGATGTAGGAGTAGCTTAATCTCCTTGTTTGGGTGGAATGAGACAACCCTGCCTATTTTTATAGATTTGGAACTTTGTGTTGTGTGGGTAAGATAGTCGGTATTTTACATGTGTTTAACCCATGTCAAAACTGGACATGGGTTAAAGAGGAGGCGGAGCTTATGACCTGTACTGCAGGCAATCAGTAGAGGGGGCCCCCAAATAATTAAGCATGACTTTTGCAGAGCTGTCATATCGTCCGTCTTTTCACACAGTCTATGGCCTCAACACAGTCTCACAGAATATTTCCTCAATCACAACACCCAGGATATATTTTTTTATATTAAAAGTTCTAAATGTAATATCTAGCAATTCTAAATTGAAATTGCAGTGCAGCCCGAGTTCATGAATAACAATGAATTCATTTCTTTACATTAAAGTCAGACTTTGAAACAGTGTGCAGTGTGACGCCGGCTGCTCGACTCTGGTGTTTTCACTCTGTTGCACCACATCGCACCGACGCAGTGTGACTGAAGCTCACAGTCTGGCTGTGAACTCCAAGATAGATTTATGAGGAGGAGGTCTGCTGCTCAGACAACTACTATCCACTGATGAGAGAACACACAAACACTGCATCAGCAAGTTTGTCAATTATTTCAGTGGCCCCCCCTCCTCCTGCTCAGACACACACGCACACACACACACACACACATACACACACACTCACTCACAACCCCTCCCTTTAAAGCTTTTACACAGATTTCCTCCATTCACCTTTCCTAATAATTAAACCTGATTAAATTGAAAGTGAGATAACAGCAATTATAAAAAAAGCCAATTAACAGAGGGCAGATGTGCTTTGTTAAGTTTTATACGACATTACGCTGATGATTTATGAATTTATGGGGGCAAAAGCCCTCTTTCAATTCAATGATTGGGAAGCTACGATGTAAGCCTCCCACACACACTTTGAATATAATGAGCATGAAGGAGCAGTACAAGGGAGTCCACCTACTCAGTGCGCTTCATAAAATGGTCATTAAAGAGAGAAAGGCGCACACACAAACTTGTGGCTTTAAACATTTATAATGGTTGGTAATTATACAGCGGTACTAACGCCAAGCTGTTACTGCAATTCTCTTTTCACCTCAAGCCTCGTAAAACGGGGAGCTACAGAAAACACCTAAGCCAAATTGAATTTGAGAGAAGGAAAAAAAAATTCGGCCTCTTTTATCAGTGTCCTCTGTCACTGATCTCAGAAGCGCAGCACAGTGTACTCAGGCACAGCTGTAAGATAGCCTGGATAAAAATACCACCAAGCCAGGGATTTCTTCTGCTCTTTTCATGTTCTCTCAGCCTTTAATAAACACCGCAACCGAGTTAGCACCAACAAACCACACAAATTACAACACAGGTGTTTATCCAGAGCAAATTCACTTTAGACGGAGATTCATTCAAACGTTAACGACCACATGCACCTGATACGAGTAGAACTGATGAGCTGTCAACTTTTACTAATTGAGATTTCCTGAAATTCTTCCACCGCGGTACAACCCTCAGATGGGGAGAAAAGTGAGGATATAAACTTCCATCTGAATACTGAATTCAGACCTCTTTCTCCCCTTTCACACGTGCACTATGCCCTTAGAAAATGTTCTTTAATTTTCTGGGAGGGCTTCATTATGTGAACACACACTGATACACTTTTCACCCCAACTTTATCCAGACTTTTCTACCGAAAGCCACTGAACAGTCCTCCAGTCCAACAGGGAAAATCTCCCGCCGAGAGGGACCATGATGTGTCAAAGCCAAGGACAACTCTGAAAAATGTCAGGGGCAGGCTGTCATGAAATGTTTAGGAGTTCATCTGTGAGAGGGGTTTTAGTCGACATGTGATTGTCTTAAATTCTAAAAAGACCTAACATAAGGAGAACAGACATATTAAACTATATTACACTGGATATTATCTCACACAGTTTTCCATAAACCCGCCTTTTAGTCCTGCGATTTGAGTCATATTCAAGTTTTCAAGTAGGCTTCACCATCCTCTTTGGTGTGCAGTATGTCACCCCACTCTCTCATTTCTTGGTCCTTGCTTGCTCAAGGACACGAGTCGCAGGGCTTAAAGGACTGCCAGGGGCAAAAAGAAGAGGATCTGGATGTATGCCACAGCACAGGGTCACAGGACCACAGCCGTGGAGCTTTCTTCTTTTTTTTTGAAGACAATTATAGATTAAAACTCTCCGTTGTGAAGCAGACTAAGAATCTCTGCAGGGTTAATACAATGTTAGAGTTCCATATGGGAAAAAACATGCTGAATCCCATATTAGCATGAGGACAGACACACAGCCCAGACAAGAGGCAGCATGGGCTGTGTGCTTAGTACTTAAAGATGTAGACTGAAGGCTATCCTTGCTTGATCCCCTTTTGGATCTTGTTAAGCTCAAGGATAAGACGAAGGGAGGGAAGATTGGATATTCTTCTCAGGATTCCAAGTGAGGTGTCTCATTGGAACGCACCTATCGGCTACAATTATTAAAGAGGACAGACTTTTTACATTTTAAAAGGAAAGACAGGGTTCTCTTATCTTTGCTTTAACTTAATGAAATTTTATTCAACCCATTTAAGGGAGCATTTAAGGTCTTGTTACTCTCTGCCCTGGTTAGATTTCTTCTTTGCAAAACAAAGAGTATTGTCACAATCACAGCAGAACACCAGGACATTTCCTCCCTAATTATGCTTCATTATGCTGCGCAGGCATTTTTCTACCACCGATCTGATCCCCTCATTTCCTGGAGCGTGTTATCAATTTTCATCACTATTCGCAGTCAGCCGTTGTGTCCTGCAGCTTTATGACACACAATGCTCAATTAGTATCATACTGGGTATGGATACTGAGAAGGCCTTGGCGTATGGCAAACATCATTATGATGAACTTGAAGCCGGTGAGTCAGCACTCATAACAGAGCCTCTGTCAAATCAGAGTCATCCTCTGAGATCTGAGGAAGATGCATCGTCCAAGTGGATGTGCACAATAGACGCGTGAGATGCAGTTTCAAAGTGTTAAGTGCTGACTTTCCTGAAATGCATGACCTTTGAATCTGCAGGGGATCGGTGTACGTGTTTCCTGTGTTTGAAACGACAAATGATTGGCTACACACATGTTTAGTTCCTATGCAAAAAAAATAACAAGCTACAAATAGGAAACTTGTTTTTCATTGCATTTATTGTCTATTTTCAGATACAATGCCCTTTAAAAAAAACCTTAAAGTCATTAGTTTCATTTGTTTTATAAGAGCGGAAGCCTTTAAAGGTAGTATCAGCCGAAGATGTTGACAATAGCTGACAGGAAACATTTTCCAAAGAGTCTTTTGGGTCATATTCGTTTCCCTCATGACAGAAGGGATTCATTAGTGAGGCCACAACTGCTCTTAAATCTGCACAATCTGGCTGCAGGGCAGTAAAAGTAAATGTTGCTCCCTTGTTGTGGCACGAAATGACTGAAGCAATGCCATGTGCACAGAAAGTGAAATTAACCTATCATTCTTTTTTTCGAAAAACTTTGGACAAATAGCAAGAAAGAGAAAGAAGAAAAAAAACAGACGTTTGTTTGAAACAAGCAGTTTTTGTCATGTTATGATTTGAGCTTTGAGTGTCTCAACACTGAAGGTCTCTGTAACTTTTTCCATGAAAATATTATTGGCTGTGTGATGAATTTTGATGCAATAACCTGACAAGTCAAAAGGTAATAAAGCCCCTAGGCTTCTGTTGCACAAGAGAATCCCTGTCACATTGAAATATTCATGAGATAAATGTTATTTAAGGCAAGAGCTGCTGTTGTACAGGTGCAGAGCTTGGGACACTTGCTGCAGTGGCTTCTTTATAGTGCAGAATTTAAAAAAACTGCACACAAATTCATGCGTATTTTTGTTCTATAGTTTTGAACAATGATGTTCCATGCAACAAAAAAAAAGAATGCAGAATGAGAAATTAAAATAAAATCCACAAACAGCAGAGATTCATTGGATGTTAATGCCCTGGATCCCCCTGTGTCTCTGATGTGACCCTTACACAAAACCTCGCTTAAACTCTCCATGCATGTGTGCCTCATCAGCATCAGTTTATATTCAATGTATATGACTGCATATTATTTGCCAGGATAAACACCCTCCCTCTGTTGAATCCGGGGACCAGAAGACAGAAAAGGAATTAAGCTGAAATAGTGCTTACCTCCAAAAAGTAACAGCACCGACTGAAGCGCTATGATATGCAACATGTTTCTTGGGACAGCTGGGAAAGCGAGAATCCACCCCCAAAACGAAGACAAATTGGCTCAATTAGGACGAAATCCTTCTCGCGGCATCGCTCGTCAAAACTGGATGAAAAAAACAATTGAGTAAAATCTCATGCTTCATCCAGCGTTTCCAAATGCTACAAAAACAAAAATCCAAGTGCGTTTGGAAAACAGTTCAGACAGCCTGGTCAATAAAGTGTTGCCTGTCAGTAAAATTCAAGAACTAAAGATCATAAACTTTAGCGCAGCTTTACGTCACTATTTGAGACATTTTTGGAAGAGAAACGCGGAGACACCTGCTAAAATGTTTGAGCCCGAAGTGAAGCGTCTATCGTCATCAACGTTGACAGTGATTCGAAATGAGCTCAAAAAATGATTTTCTGCAACAAAAAAAAAAAAGAGTCAAACTGAAATTGTTTTCAATCCCGGATCCTTAGTCGGTCAGTTTTTGTCTGCTCAGTATCCTCCGCATCCCCGGGGCTCCCGAAGTTGACCGCTCTGCAGTGAGGAGAGTCTGACACTTCTGGACGTATAGAAGCCTTTCTAGCCCAGCATCATGTATGGGAAATAAATAAAAGTATAGAAGTTCAAACTACAACGTGGGTCAGCATAAATCCACACCCAGGAAACCTCAACGTCTCGTGAAGTCCTGAGCGCAACTCCAGCTGCAGGCAGCAGCCACAGCAGTGCGCGCACAGCTCCGCTCCCAGTTTAACTGCCAGCTCTAATTACACTTTGGCATCAAGTGGCTCAAATATTCCGCGAAAGTCCGGTTTCAAGCCTCCATCTTTCGAGGTTTATGTACACAGGCTGGAGGCTTCATTTCCAGCGGAGCTTACGCATTGTCAGCCGTCCAATGCGCGTCGAGAGGAGCCGAGCAGATACAGCAGTGACAATAAGTGACTGTGGCGCACGTCGGGAGGCGGTTGGCTCTCTGCTTACACATCAGTCCTCACAAGTAGAGATAAAAAAATAAATAAACAAAGACACAAAATCAAACACTATTTAAACCAATTACAATCACATTAAACCTAAAGTCGTCGTTCCTTAAGAACTGTGCGTTTACAGGTCTCTCGGGGCGCGTTTTTTTTCTTCCAAACCCATATCTTAGCCTCTTTACTTAAAGTCCCACAGCTTCCTCACATAGTTGCCCTCTGTGGACGAAAAAAAAACGACTTTAAAAAGTTGTTCTCGGACATGTTCAATTGATTGCTTGATTGCGTCACTTGGCAGGCACTAGTGACCCCGTGTGGCCTGGGAGCTGAACTGAACTGCTGCTCAGGTGTGGAGTGGAGGTGGAGGGCGTAAGGCAAAAGATACGTAAATTGTATTAAGTAGGGGGATCAAATTAAAAATGTAAGTGTAAGAGAGCGGAACAATCCTGAATTTCAATAGAAGAAAATGTGACTCTGAACATTCTCCTGAGAGAGATGCAGTGAGTCAGTCATTGCAGGATGGTAGACGGCTCTGGTGCACCAAAGTCGGTTTTCCAATGTGCTCTCTTTTTCAGAGTCCTTCTACTGGGAAATCTTCATCCATTTATTCCGTTTTCAATACTTGTTCATATTTAAGGCTGCAGAGGGAAATAAATATGTATTCCTGTATGATCCTGATGCAAACTTCTGTTTGATTTAAACGACATCCAGAAGATAAATCTATTAGGTGTTGTCCAACAAACGTCTTAAAGAAAATATACCTTCAGCTCTGACCTTTTTTCATACAGGCACTATGATCATGTTGCAATCATTTAATCCATTAAGCGCCAAATCATAAGTTTATCTCAGGAGCAGGTCTAGACCATACTCTTTCTTCTTAATAGTTACAGAGACCCAACATGAATCCATGAGCAAGCACTTAGCAAACTAGACTCATGGTGGATTCATGGTCATCTGCCACGACTGGATGGGTAAAGAAAGGGGAGAAGGAGGGAGATGCAGACAGAGAGACATGCCTGCATCATGTCTGTTCGTCTTTGGATAGATTTGTTGGGACTGTGTTACTTTACAAATGTTATTGTTTTATATGAATTCATCAAAATAAAAACCAACTGAGCGCAGACATTGCTAGGGTATAAAGTTTATTACTGTAATCTGATAATTGATTCAACTGTGAGCCACGCAGCAGATTTGTTTCCTGTGCAGAGCAGATGGTGTTGTGAGGGAGAGATAAAACAGATTCATGAACATTCGATACAAAAATATCACACGAGTTAGCCACCAGTCCAACTATTCTAATTACGAGCATTGTTTCGTTTTTCATGCATGCCATGCTGGGATTGTTGTGTATTGTTGGATTACAAAAGATAGTCATGTTTGAGATATAATGAATTGAGTTAAAACTTACTGGGAATTTTAAAAAAAAAGTCAGGCATTGTTTTTTATTTATTTATATCAAATTAAACACACAGCAAGGTAAGGAAGTAATGGAAGTAATGGAAAAGATTACAGGCCCTAAATGAAGCTAAAATATAAATAAAAAAACACATCAGTGCCAAGCTTATTCGAAAACTCTTCTTTGATTCTTCGATGTGGTTGCAGCACTTATGTCTGAAAAGCATATCGAGAAAGGAAATCATAGAGCCACTCTTTCATTCTCCCAGATAGAGCAGAGGGACACTACTCCACTAAGTTGTTGTGATGATGTTCGCAAAGCAAAATCTCTTGGACCACTAAATCATGGTTACAACCCCTACATTTGTCATAATTTAAGGTTTTTCTGGCTGACTTCAAATTCCATTTTTCACTTTATTGTACCGTTGCCTTTGCTTCCACCTAGATGTGAGCAATTTGATCTTGGAAGCAGACTTGCTCTTGTACAGCTGCAAAAAGCATTAGAGGTAGGGGACGAAAATATTGGTTTCGAGCATCAACTTCCCTGGCTGTAATCGTGGGCTGAAACATCACTCACACAAAGGTTGGTAGTCGTCCAAAAGTAGCCGAACTGCAGCCTGACAGGCAGTCAAATCCCTTGAAGCCCACTCTACACTGAGGTCCATTCAACTGCTGGAAATCAGAGCGAGCACCAGCAGAGCCGGAATGGCTTAGGTTACATCTCCTGTCGCTGCAAGTCATTACAGAAAGTAGACTGACTCCTCTCAGCTCTGCATATGGTAAGTCCATTTCCCGGCTTAAATTACTCTGACTCAGACTGCTGTATAAACTCACAAACCATCAATCTCCCTCCAAAAAAAAAAAGATAAGACACACTTGATTTGGAAATGGGAGTTTCAAAACAGCAAGAGAGACTCGAGGCAATATTAAAAAGAGGACTAGGACTAGGACTAGGAGGCAAAGCCACTGTGTCTTGTCGGAGGTGATGTTTAGACTCTGCGAGGACATGTCTTGAGACTTTGAAGTCTGGAGAAAGGTCTCAAGCCTTTGATGTCTTGGAAAAGATCTCGAGGCTTTCATTCAGTGCAAATACACAGAAGACTGAAATGTCAGGAACATGACGATACAACAAACTGCAATTTCTGACTCTGATCACCCTTATTTAACAGGATTGTAAAACACAGATTTCATGTCAAGGATACTAAAATATATTTCTGGTATTATTTTTTTCATATATTTGTTGGATATTCAGATTTTAAGAATATCAACTGGGTGAGTGGAAAGACACTAGAGGCTGTGTTTCTGAAGTTTCCCATTGTCACCCTTTAACCTTCAGTGATTCCCTGGGGTATATACGATCCTATATCCTCTATATTATACATAATGAATCGTCCCTTGTGTCTTCTTTTTTGGTGGTATCCTTCATCCATGACCTTAGCCAGCCTCGGTGGCTTGTCCTCTGGTCAGATGGCAGACAGGGGGCCCAAATTCATCACCACCTTTCATTCTCCTCCCCTGGCCTATCTGATCTATGATAGCATTAATAAAAACCCTGCTGCCGAATGCCCCGTCGCCCTCTGTGCCCTGCCCACTCCCAGCCTGCACAGATTACCACCAGCCCTCCACAGCCCATTAAAACTGTATTTACTTATCAGCCTCTCTGGGGCCGTCACTCTGTTTTCAAGACTGATGCCCAGAGGGAAGGCAAAGGGTGACCTTCCGATGGCCTGGAGTGTGCCAAGTCACTGGTCCCCAATGGTTCGTCCTTATTTTGCTGCCAAAACTCCACCGAAAGCAATCAGAACGGCTCAAACAAGATGTAAAAACTTAACTAAATCTGCAAATGAAATGAGACAATTATGGGTGTCTCTAGGTGGCAGCTACAGTCAAAACTGCTGATGCACCTGTAGTGTTTGTTGTGAGCATGGCTCCTCTGTAGATGGCGTGAGTCCAAAAACTCACTTTACATTCACAGTTGTCATTCAAAAAAAGAAAGTTCATTTGGCCAAAAATTCAAGTCATATATGCCATTCTATTTATATAGGAAACAACAAAAAAGCTATTCAAGAACTCAAAATCACACTTCTACATGATCTGCTCCTGTGTCACATACCACACAGTGTTTCCACGATGACCTCTCTGAGTGCACAACACTTGCTGCTCCATTTCTTGGTGCCTATTCACAGTGCCATCCAGAGATAAACAAAAACAAATAATGGCTCCAACTAAAACTTTTCATTGAATTTAGAATACAATTACCAGTATTTGAAACAACTTTTGGGTACTATACACATTTTTTGATTAATAGTTAAATAAAAACCCTGTTACCACTCTCAGATTTGTCCATCTAAGTGTGTTTAGATCACGGTCATTACGTGTCAATTTATGTGCAATATGAAGCCATGAGTTAACTTAAGCATGCTAATATTAGCCTGCTAACACAGCAATTCATGCCACAGGCAATTGCAGCTCCAGCAAAGGAAAATCTTGTCTGCCGCTTGCGCTTAATGGTGCTTACTTATGGTGCGTTCTGATTCATAACTCCTTTGTGTGAACGCAAGTGGAGAGGGGTTGGAGGTGTGCCGCTGGAGGAGAGCGGAGGCTTCTGAATAGCGGAGGTGTCTCCAAACAGCAGTTTGTTTTGGTTTCACGCTGGTGCTTAAGGGCGACATCTACTGGATCAAAACGTTGCACATTCTTCCTTTAGGCTAAATATAGAGCTAACATCAGACACTTAGTGTAGCTTGGTGCAAAAAAAAAAATGAAAACAGCTGGATACAGAATGCCTGGCTCTTTCCAACTGTTTCAAAAAGCCTTTTAAAACTTTTAAAGTTCACGCACATGATGTCTGTTCAACTTGTACAAAAGCAGAATTATAAAATCAACATTTTACAGAGGTAACGGTCACACTGTTTTTCAACTCGGACCTGTAACTTCCCTTTGTCTACATTGTTTTTTTGGTACCTAAGCCAAAGTATTCCTTTTAATAGATCAGAGAACCACTTATATGTAAAAGTGTTTTAGCATTTCAGTACAGACTTGTTGTTTTCCAGTCTGCTATTTTACTGTTTATGTTTCAGTCTCACTGGGCTGAGTCCGTATAGCTAACGTACAAAGTTGAAAAAATTTGTATGCTACACCACAACTAGCTAGTAGCTACTCGACAATTAGCACCTGGACAATAGTGGTAAAAATGTTTTTTCCCTTTCAGAATATTGACTCCAAATGAACGATTATATTGATCGATATCTGCTAGATGTGTAATGAGGCAAAAGTGTGCTAATACATTAGCATAGTCAGCTTCGACCAGATGATATCTTATTTTTTGCTGATTTTGCTGCCCCCAAGTGGCCAAAAAACTAACAAGCGGCTACCTGAATGAATGTTTAATATGTACATTTTGACATCATACTTTGCTAAAGATGGATGTCACAATACTATCAAGCTTAATTATACTATCCGAAGTTCCTAGTTGCCTATCCAGAGCAAAGACTTCCCTACATTTGTGGTTGAGTTAGCTTCACATGTGCCGT